AACCAGAAAACCAAGATAAGAAGTGCTACAAGTGAGTGTGAGATGAAGTTTTAGAGTAGTCAGGCATGGTACATGGAGATTATAGTTACTGGGCAAAAAAGCCAAATTGTTGAGTGATGCAATGTGTATGCTAGAAGTACCATAAATGCAGAGTTTCTGAGGATGAACATGGTTTATATGAGGATGATCATGGTAAAGACTTTTGTATTTACTTCATGAAGGTTAAAAGCCAGGGAAAGGTTTTGAGCAGAGGACACATGATCTGACTTAGATATTGGGAGGAAGGCAGAAACAAGGAGGCAAAATAAGAAGTTATTATCTTAATCCACAAAGAATCTGTACCTTCAACAGTAATAGTGGAGGTGTTAGGATATAGTCATATTCTTAATGTGTTTTCTAAACAAAGCAAATATATGCTGATTGATGGTTTTAAAACAGTAAGAGAGATAGAGATGACTGCACATTTCTTGCCTGATTTATGAGTGGAGTTATCATGAACTATAATGGGAAAGAATGTGGGAGGAGAAAGTTTGGGTAGAGAAAATAAGAATTTTAATTTGAAAAAAGCAGATGTCTTTGAAGGAACCAAGTCATCAGGATGACATTTATATTGGAACCCAGTAAAAGGTCTGGGCATCCTATCTAATAAAAGAGTAGTATGCAAATCGACCACACCTCTGCTATACCCACAAACCACACACACCAGCCAATCAGGAGTGAGTATGCAAATTAATCCAACCAAGATGGCTGCAGCCACAGAGTGAGCAGAAGGCTTGGATTTCTGCCATGCCATTGTTTTTGCCAAGCTTGGATTTCTGCCAAGCTTTCTGCACACCCCGGCCAGCCCTGGACTCCACTCAAGGCTACAAAGTTTCAATTATAGAAGATAAATCAATCCCAACAAAAATGGCAGTAGCCACAGAGCTGGAGAAAGCAGGAGGCTTGATGGAGGAAGCCAAGCTTCAGCACCCTTGGCCTGCCTTGGCCTCTGCTCAAGGCTACAAAGTTTCAATTATAAAAGATAAATCCCAGATACCAGGGCCTCTGCTTGGGTTGCCAGGGGGCCTGGACGGCCTACAAACCACCACAGGCCTCTCTACCTGGCCACCCCATGCTACATGGGAACCCTACTCTGATCTGGAACACCCTTCAGGGCAAACCAGCTGGCCCCCACCCATGCATCAGGCCTCTATTCTATGGTCTAATAAAAAATTGGCCATAACTCCAACATACAAGATGGCTGCCCCCATGTGGACACAAGATGGACACCATAAGATGGCCAGCAGGGGAGGGCAGTTGGGAGGACCAGGCCTGCAAGGGAGGGCAGTTATAGGCATTCAGGCCAGGAAGGTAGGGAAGTTGGGAAGGATTAGGCCTGCAAGGGAGAGAAGTTGGTGGCGATCAAGCTTTCAGGGGAAGGAAGTTGGGGGGTGAGGCAGGCCTTCAGGGGAGGGTAGTTAGGGGCAAATAGGCTGGCAAGGGAGTAGTTAAGCATAATCAGGCTGTCAGGGGAGTGGTTAGGGGGTGATTAGGCTAGCAGGCAGAAGTGATTAGGCACAATAAGGAAGGCAGGCAGACAAGCAGTTGGGAACCAGCAGTCCTGGATTGTGAGAGGGATGTCAGATCCCACAGGGATTGGGCCTAAACTGGCAGTCAGACATTCCCTGAGGGGTCCCAGATTGGAGAGGGTGCAGGCTGGGCTGAATTTTGTGCACTGGGCCTCTAGTACTACTATATATCAGGTATATTGGGAAAGGAAAATTAAATACTAGACTTAGCAATAAAGAGATCAGCCTTTACATATGCAGTTCCAGCGAAGTGGTAGGGTAAAAAAAGAAGGAATAAAGTTCTGATACATGTTTCAATAAGAACGAACCTTTAAAACATTAAATGCTAAGTTGAAGTCAAACACAAAAGGCCAATATTGTATGATTCCATTTACTAGTATATGGAATGCACTGGACAAATCCATATAGATTGAAAGCATATTACTGGTTGCTAGAGGTTTGTGGGATGAGGAAGGAGAGAATGGGGAGTGATTGTTAATGATTATGGGTGTTTTCTTTTTTCTTTTTTTTTTTTTTTTTTTAATATATTTTATTGATTTTTTACAGAGAGGAAGGGAGAGAGAGAGAGAGAGCTAGAAACGTCGATGAGAGAGAAACATCGACCAGCTGCCTCCTGCACACCCCCTACCGGGGATGTGCCCGCAACCAACATACATGCCCCTGACCGGAATCGAACCTGGGACCTTTCAGTCCGCAGACCAACGCTCTACCACTGAGCCAAACCGGCTTCGGCAGTGTTTTCTTTTTGTATAATGAAAATGTTTTGATGATTGTAGAACATTGTAAATGTACTAACAGTTATTGAATTGTATATTTACAAATAGTTAAAATAATTTAATGTTATGTGACTCTTATCTCAATAAAAATATTTTTGACAAAAACCTTATTGGAATGGATTCAAGAAAAAATGAGGGGGTGGAGTCAGTGAGAATATGAAAAACTCAGACAAGTTAGTTGGAGGGGCTTGTAAGGTAAGAAGGTTTCCTTAGGATGGGTGAAATTTTGGTCACTTAGTGTACTGAAGCTATTTCTAAGAGGACATGCTAATGTAAAGGAGAAGAGGAAATTGCTGGAATGATTTCTTAGATTGGGAAGGAGAGATACATTTACTTTATGAATGAATGAAAGGAGTGGGCTTAGAGTGGAGCATGGCTAGTTGACCCACATTACCGGAAGAAAGTTATGTGGACAGCTGTGTAGGTAGATTGATGGTGGCACTTGATAGTTTTCTTCTGATTTTTCCTATGAAATATGAAGCAAGATGATTAGCTGAGAATGATGAGGTGTAGTGAAGAATGATTAACTGAAATGGAAGAGGAGGTGGAAATTTAAGGAGGGGGAATAGTGTCTAGAATAGAGGAAAAAGAAAGAATTAGAAAAATGTAGTATGGCATTGCCATGATGCAATGAAGTGAGTAGTCATGGATATGTAATTTTAATCATCATGATTTTGGGCCTCTCTTCACCAAGTTCTGCTGCACAGATGTAAATGGAGTAGGTGGTTGGCTTTTGTAGAGCCAAGCTACAGTGATGCTATCAACTAGGAGTGTGTGGGACACTCACCTGGGCCCTTACTACTTGTGGCAGCTCCTGCAGACATTCAGACATCTCCCTGCCTGGAGTTGTGACTGGACCAGCCCTTGTGGTGGTGGTTTTGAAGATTGCAAGATGCACCTCAGCAACAACTATCAAGGAAGTTTGGAAAAACAAGGTTCATTATCCATAGGTACTGGAAGCTCATCCGGGAACATATATTTAGGTCATAGTGGAAGAGAGAGAGAGAGAGAGAGAGAAAGAGAGAGAGAGAGAGAGAGAGAGAGAGAGAGAGAGAGAGAGAGAGAGAGAGAGAGAGAGAGAGAGAGAGAGGAGGGGGAGGAGAAGGACGGAGAGAAGGAGGAGGAGGAGAAAGAGGAGGAGAAGAAAGAGGAAGCAGCAGCGGCTATGTGTTTATTCCAGGGGATGTCTTTGAAATGGGTGCCTCAGTAAACCACAGCTTAATGTGAGGTACTTACAGGACAATCCAAAAGCAAACTATCCATTACTTGCACTTTGTGGAGAATTGTACTTTTCCGTTTTTGCTCCGAGAGAGTGGGGAAGCATGAGAAGAGCCAGGATGACTGGCTGTCTAACATCTGTAAGAAAGGAAGAGAGAACATGAGAGATGATGAAAAGAATTGATAAGATTGTAGAACCATTAGCTGGTAGGACCTGGTGCTGTCAGAACATTGTTGCTGTTGAGATATGAGAGGGAGTGAACTGGAACAATGGGGTTGAAGACTATGGAGTGGGTCATGGTAATTAAGGTCCAGGAAATGTTATTATGGTAGTAATGATAATCATCTGAGGATTGGTGGCAGGGGTTGTTTTTCATCAGCGTTTTCCTTCACAATCACCAATAAGAAGAAATCAAGAAATGAAGAAGAATAGAAGTGAAGACAAATATTGAAATGACAAAGAATGACAGTGAAACAAGTCTAATGCCATCAAGGATCGAGCTGTAGTGCTTAGTCTGTAGATGACTGCAACAAGCTGGCACACAGAGTGAAACCCTTTGACGTCCAGAGATTAAGGCTGGTTATTTAGGAAACTGAGTGAGAATTATCTGGAAGTGGCTAGTGGTTCAGGAAGGACACCCATCCAGTTTTAAGTTCTGTGTTGGGAGGGCTGTGGGAGGAAAGGAGGCACTGTTTGAAAGGGCTGCAGGGAAAATAGTTGCAGGGCAGATCCTGCTTCCAGTTAAAGAAGACACCATACATTTTACATCTGATGTATGTACTGTTATCCTTTTAATAATAGGCTGCTAGTTTTTATGTTCAGACAGGTTACTTCGGTGAGAATGAAAGATTTGGTTTTAGCATTCAAAACAGAGATGTCACTAAATCCTAGAAGCCTAAGCCTGGTTTGTATATCTTTTCTTAGTGCAATGGGTCCACCTAAGGGATGATGCTGCCATAAAGAAGGTTTGGGTGGAAAATGCTTTGTAGAACAAGTGTTAATCCTATATAATAAAAGGCTAATATGCAAATCAACTGAATGGCAGAATGACCAGTTGTTATGATGTGCACTGACTACCAGGGGCAGATGCTCAACACAGGAGTTGCCCTCTGGTGGTCAGCACATTCCAACACGGGCAGTACTGCTCAGCCAGAAGCTGGGCTCATGGCTGGTGAGCACAGTGGCAGTGGCAGGAGTTTCTCTTGCCTCTGTGGCTGTGCTAAGGATGTCCAACTGCCAGTTTAGGCCCGCTCCTCAAGGAGATCAGACCTAAGCCATCAGTCAGACATCCTCTGAGGGTTCCCAGACTGTGAGAGGGCGCAGGCCAAGCTGAGGGACCCTCTTAGTGCATGGATTTCATGCACAGGGCCTCTAGCGTCTTAATAAATGAATAACTCCCCCTAGTTGCATCTGCATCTCACTCTTTAAATTTAACAGATGAAACTTTACCATGTCAAGAAGCAACCATCACAAAGCAGGAACTATGCCATCCTGATACAACTTTCTGCAGATTTGACACTACAGATGCAGGATTAAGATGTAAGTGTTAAATTGGCATACTCATCTTGTTGTGTGATCCTTTCATGAGACTCAGATCCCTAATCCTATATAATAAATGCCTAGTCAAGCATGAATCGACCAGTCGGTAAGAGTTCCACTGACCACCACCTGGTCCCTCTCCCTTCACCCAACTCCCGCACCTGCAGGCTCTGATCACAGGATGGTGAATGGGGAACCACTGGGAACCAGAGTGGGTGGCGGCAGGTGGGACTGGGGACTGGCTAATCGGAAGAAGATGGCCTAATCACAGGCTTGGCCTAGGGACCCTACCCGTGCATGATCTCGTGCACTGGGCCTCTGGTAGGAATATAAGATACTCACTTGGTATTTGGTATTTGTGGACATTTATGCCCAAGTTTTAGCTGGAATGTTATTGGAAAATTGATTTATTCAACAAGTAAAATATATTAAATATATCAATTTAAAGTAATATTAATTTGTAAAACAGTTCCACTAAAGACCGTTTTGGAATTTTATATGCAATGATTCTTTAAAATCTCAATGTGTTTATGAATAGTTAATGATATAAATAGAATTATTTCCATAAATTAGCTAAGGTCAGATATTATGCTATTTAAAAAAATCAAAAACAAAGCACTTGTCCAAGGAAAGATAGAAAATTTTAATTTTTTATTGCAATGCAATGGTTCTCATTTTGGGGGATGCCCATCTGAGTGAACTGAAGAACTTGAAAAAATAGAATTGTTTAAGATTTATTGAACCAAATTTCTAGTTATGAATTTGTGTGTAAACCCTAGTGTAACACCATCCATGGCAGTAACCACTCTCATAGACTGTGAGAGTCCACCAGGATCTTTCTCTCCTCTCTTCAGTGTGTGAGCCCTGTGGATTTGAATTTGACACGTGTGGCTGGGCATCAGAAGCAGTTGCTGGGCACGTTTCCTGGTTGCGCACAAATGCAGGGAGAGTTCCTGCTTTAGAATCTACAACTCAGCATGATCAAAGTAGTGATGATGAAGGTAGGAATAAAAAATATCTTTTACATATTATTTTTAGAATTGTACTTTATTGTTACTGAATGCAGACATTTGATCAGGGTCTTGAACATACTGAGTATATTTTATTGAAACTATATTATGCCATAGACATTAAAAATAGTAAAATCAATAATTTCATTTGATTTAGGAAAAATTACACTATGTTAATTAACTATTTTAATTTGGTAAATTTTATTATTTTTTTTAATCATCAAGATATAATAGATTTTGCATGAACAACCACACACAAAAAAAGGTTTATCAACTGTTAGCTCTCCCTATCCCTGTAGTATTGTCAATGAGTTTCTTCCTCTTATTCTAACACTAATTTGTTATTTATGTGTACTTTTCTCTTTATTGCCTTTTTATTTTTTGGTAGGGGTATTATTAGTTATTTTTTAAAAGTATAATTTAAAATTTTATTCCAGCAAAAACTAATCTACTTCCTGTAGATTTTATTGTCCCCATCTGCATATATTGTCATCTGTATATCTTCTTTAGTTAGGTGTCTATTAAGATCTTTGGTTGTTAGTTTCTTAGTTCTTTTTCTCACTGGCTTAGAAGCTTTGATTTATATATACTACTAGTAGCCCTACACACGTATTTGTGCACCAGTAGCTTGCTACCACCCGCCAGTAGCTCTTTGCCCGCTGCCCTGCCCTCCTATGGCTCCCCCAAACCCCCACCCCCTAAAGCTTGCTTTCTTGCCCCCTCCTGTAGCTCTCTGCCACCCAGTTGTAGCTTGCTGCCCCACCCTCTTGCTGACCTGTGATACTGTTGTTATACAGTCAGTTGTTATACTTCATTGCATAACAAAATTTTGCATATTACATCTTTATTATATAGGATTAGTAGCCCAGTGCATGAAATTCATGCCCTACTGCTGGTTTACAGGGATTGGGCCTAAACCGGCAGTCGGGCATCCCTCTCCCAATCTGCAACTGCTGGCTCCTAACCTCTCACCTGCCTGCCTGCCTGACTGCTCCTAAACACTCTGCCTGCTAGCCTGCTTGCCCCCACCTCCCCTTCTCACTGGCCTGCTCGTTCTGAATTGCCACCCTGCTGTCCTGATCACCCTCAACTGACCCCCACTGATGGCATGCTTAGCCCCTCTGCTGGTCTGCTCACCCCCAACTGTCCCCCCCACCGGCCTGATCACCCCCAATAGCTGCCCCCCCGAACCAGCCTGATCATCCACAACTGCTGTCCCATCCTGGCCTGATCACCCACAACTGCCTTCCCCTCTTGGCCTCTAACTGCCTCTACCTCGGCCCCACCACCATGGCTTTGTCCAAAAGAACTTCTAGAAGGTCTCCTGGAAGGTCTCCCAGCCTAATTAGCATATTACCTTTTTATTAGTATAGATAGAGGGCTGCTGCACAGGTTTGGGCTGGCTGGTTTGCCCTAAAGGGTGTCCTAGATCAGGGTGGGAGTTCCCTTGGTGCATGGGGCATCCTGGGTGAGAGGCCTGTGGTGGTTTGCAGGCCGGCCATGCTCCCATGGGGTGAGGGTCCTGGCTTGGAAAGGGGGCATGGCCAGCCTGGGTGAGGGGCTAAGGGCTGTTTGCAGGCTGGCCACACCCAGGAGGAATTCTAACTCTATGGGGGTGTGGCCAGCCTGAGTAAGGGGCTGAGGTCCATTTTTTAGACTGGCCACACCCCCTTCAGGGTGGGGATACCCACTGGGGTGCCTGGCCAGCCTGGGTGAGGAGCTGATGACTGTTTGAAGGCTGGCCAAGCCCTCCAGTGGGGACTCTCACCCCATGGGAGTGTGGCCAAACTGGGTAAGAGGCTGAAGGCTGTTTTCAGTCTGGCCATGCCCCCTGTGACCCTGGCTCCCAGCCCCTCCCTGAATGGAGGCAAGGACTGGCTGGAAGACTGGGTTACCCTAAGCAGAGGCCATGGCAGGCCTGGGGCAACTCAAGCCTTCTGCTCACTCCAGTCCATGGCTGCTGCCATCTTTGTTGGGTTAATTTGCATAATCATTTCTGATTGTCTGGTAGGTGTAGTGGAGTGATGGTCAATTTGCATGTTTCTCTTTTATTAGTGTAGATATTTTTATGGACATTTAAAAATTTTGACATATATATTTTTTTTGTTTAATATATTTTATTGATTTTCCACAGAGAGGAAGGGAGAAGGATAGAGAGCTAGGAACCTCGATGGGAGAGAAACATCGACCAGCTGCCTCTTGCACACCCCCTACTGGGGATGTGCCTGCAACCAATGTACATGCCCTTGACCGGAATTGAACCTGGGACCTTTCAGTTTGCAGACTGATGCTCTATCTACTGAGCGAAACCGGTTTCAGCTATATCTTTAATATTAAATTTCTTTATCACTTACTGGAATAGAAGGAACTCATTGTATTTTAAATTATCATTTTTAACCCTCCCTTTTTATTTACTTATTTTTTCTCATTACCATTCATCCCCCTATACTTTCTTCTACCTTTACCCACCACCCTTTTTAGGTTTTGAATTATAGTTTAATATTTAAAAAAAATATTTTTAAGTAAATATCATTTAAAGCTATTACGTTTTCAACTGTTACAATGATACATTTTATCATTTTCTTTAGTCACCATTGTTTCTGTTATTTTATCCTTACCCTTTCAGTTTCTTTTCCTTCCTGCAAACGTTCACTTTTTAAATTATTAATACTTGTGTTTTATTTACATAAGATTTGTGGTGATGAACTTGCTTAGTATTTATAAACTTGAAACATTTTTAAATTGACTTCACGCTTAAATAATAAGCTATGTGGTGATACAATTTTAAAATGAAAAACTGTTTATTTCATTTCTAACTATATGGTGATAGTACTTTTCTCCTGATATCTACTGTAGATTTGCTTTTTCTCTATCCTTCCTCCACTCTTTCCTAATGTTTTTCTTTGTACCTACCTGCTTGTTCAGTGATTATGTTGTAGCATTACTTAGCTCCCTGATCCCTTACCTAAATAACAATACTAGTTTATGGTTTCATATTTCATGGCAATGCTTGGAGTCTTCACATCCTTATAGCTCAAGACAGTGAGGGAAGGATATATCCCACCTCAGTTTATGAGCAGGTTCCCTCCATAGTCTTTGCTTTCATTAAGAGAATTTGATTCTTCTCCTTTAGCTTTTGCAAAATTTAAATTAGTCAAAATTCAAGCTACAACAGCCTGCTTTTTATCCTAAAGCCCATGTTCTGCTTATCACTTGGCATATTTTTTTTCTTTTCTCTTGAGATGGTATTTGACCTCTCTTTGCTTTATAAAATGTGTTTTCTATTTATCATTTCCTTGTGTATAGGTCCGAGGCAAAGTATTAACTTACTATGCTATTTTCATTAAAGTTTAACATTTCTAATAAATAGGAGTTTCATTTAATTTAAATAGTTTTTAGAAGCTGCAGGAATATTTACTAACTTACGGAACAAGCATTTGAAAGATTATTTTTGAAAATTAAAGTTATAAATTTATGAAAATATCTGTATTGTCTACATTATTGAGTTAATCAACAATCAAAATTGCTTTTAAGAATCAGAAGGAAAAAATTGATTGATAATATTTTAGGTAATAAAAAATCCACAGATTTGATGCTTCCATCTAGTTTCTTAAGAAATAGGGCATTTGAATTATATTCTGTAAGAAAAGAAAAAAAAAAGACTTCAAATAGCCTCAGCAATCTTGAGAAAGAAGAACAAAGTAAAGGTATCACAATAGCTGATGTAAAACTATACTTCAATGCCATTGTAAAAATCAAAACAGCCTGGTTCTAGCATAATAGCAGGCATATAGATCAATGGAACAGAACAAAGAACCCAGAAATCAACCCTCCCCTTTATAGGCAATTAATATTTGACAAAGGCAGCAAGCACATAGAATGGAGTGAAAACAGTCTTTTCAATATATGTTGAGAAAATTAGTTACATGCAAAAGAAATGAAACTAGACCACCAACTTATCCCATACACAAGAATAACAGAATAGATAAAAGGCTTAAATGTAAATCACAAAACTATAAAAATTCTAGAAGAAAATATAATCAGCAAAATCTCAGACATCTCTCAGCAATATATATTTTTAATGTATTTTATTGATTTTCCACAGAAAGGAAGAGAGAGGGATAGAAAGTTAGAAACATCGATGAGAGAGTAGCATTGATCAGCTGCCTCCTGCACACCCTCTACTGGGGATGTGCCCACAACCCAGGTACCTGCCCTTGGCCGGAATCGAATCCAGGACCCTTGAGTCTGCAGGCCAATGCTCTATCCTTTGAGCCAAACCGGTTTCGGCTCTCAGCAATATTTTTGGTGAAATATCTCATAGGGCAAAGGAAATAATGAAGAAAATATAAAAATGGGACAACATCAAATTAAAAAGCTTCTGCACAGCAAGGAAACGATCAATAAACTGAAAACCCATTGAATGGTAGAATGTACACTGAGTAACCAGATTATTATGACCACCTGACGTTTGTAAGTAAATTAGCCTTACACTGCATCATATGGGTATGGAAGCTGAAGGCCTGTTTGAACACCTTTTCTGTCTGCAGTTATCAAGATAAAACTTTTCCAATTCGCACAGGAACACAAGCATTGGACAGTCGAGCATTGGAAAAAAGTCATGTGGTCTGATGAATCACATTTCTAGTTGTATTATGCAGATGGCAGAGTGAGAATTTGGCAGAAACAGCATGAAAGCATGCACCCCACATGCATGAGTACATCTCTTCAAGCTGGTGGGGGCAGTGTTATAGTTTAGGGCATATTTTCCTGGCATGATTTGGGCCCTTTAATTTGTGTGGAATAACATCTGAATAGCACAACATACCTAAGTATTGTTGCTGATCAAGTTCATCCTTTCATGTTGATAGTGTATCCCAATGAAGATGGCTTCTTCCAACAAGACAAAGCGCCATGCCATGGTGCTCGTATAGTGCAGGAGTGGTTTCAAGAATATGAAGGAGACTTTACCTTAATTGGGTGGCCTCCAC